CAAGCTCTTCCCCTATATATATGGCTCTGAGTTGCCTCAGAAGTGGCTCTGTAGGTTACCATATGGGTAACCGTTCGGCACTGCTCCTCAATTTTTTTTTTCCGGCAGCCGCTCACTGAGTGGCTCCATTGTGAAATGGACAATTTCCGAAATTGCTCATGGCAAGACTGAGCCGCTGCCTTGACGGCGCTCGAAAGCGCGGCTGAATCGGGCAAGGCGCTGCCATTATGTGGTACGCTCCCGCGATCGTGAGCACCACCGCCGCTGGACCCGATTTGCTATCGTGGACCAGGAGATTTTTGGCAATCCGAATTGGTACACTATGGAAAAAGTAAATGACAACTACGTCACCCACAAGACGAGCTTCCAAAACCGAAGGCGCGGTTCAAGACTGAAAGTTACGTGGAGACAGCTTTGCCTAAAACGGCGACATTGTTATCGCGGATTCGTGGCAGTGTTCGACACGACCTTCTCTCCTCTTAGGCCTTTCGACAAATTTGAAAGCAAATACTTTTAACTTTATTTTCGTGGCCTCAATATTTCACAAATTTTACGATGTGTGGGTTTCGGGAACATCTTGCGGGCACAATATTTTGCGATTTGGAGGGGTACGCTTAGTATTCCCTACCATTGGGTAATTTATTTGCGTGATCTATTTTTCGCGATATTTCTGTAATCCCGAAATTCGCGAAAAATAAGTCCTCGCGAAAGTTAAGTCATTTACAGTGTACTTGGTACAACTTGTTGTACCAAGAAACGGTGGCTACCAGCAACGTTGGAGAGGTAGCCAGCCTGGCTGAACTGCTTCAGCGTATTGGCGGCTCCAGCGAAATCGACGGCACCAAGAGGCTTGATCAGAAAGCTGTGGCAGCAGGTTCACTCTTACACCTTCCGGAGCAGATCAGACATTCACAGCGCCTGGTGGTCAAACCACGAAGCCGTGAAAGTAGGTCCAAAAACACGTGATAAAAATCGCTAATAGCTTTGTATATTTCGTGCCATTATGTTTTCGCCCCTGACGTTTTATAACGTTTTCTCGGTTGGTTCAAACAACAGGTCACTTGGGAAGGAGAACAATGGGACACGTGCAAGAAGACAGCATCCGGATTTCAGAATAGCTCATACGCCACGCCCGAATAAAGTATCCTGCGGAAGAGCCATGTGCGTGTGCCCGTAGCAACGCTACTAAAACACTCAGTTGGGAAAGTCACCCTTAAAACCCGAACCGCTCGCGTCCACCGAGACCAAACTGGATACGATAACACCGGCCGCCATTTAGCGGGGAGTCGAAACATGCCAATTGCTTCGTATAACTACTGCGAGATCGCACAGCGAAATGGCGCCACCAGCCTTTGCGCGGCTCAACGCGAACCGATACTTGCAAACGTGCAGTACCCGGATTGGCCGCTGCGGGAGAACTGCCGGCTTTGTGATCGCATCCAGTTTGGTTCTCGAGTGCCGATCGGAGCCGCTCTTTTAAAGCTGGCTCCAATGGCAGCTTCTCAAATGAGGTGTTCTAGTAACGTTGGTTCGTAGCTATGATTGCTCTTTTTACTGAGCGATCTGTCACAATGAATCCTCGTGCACGCGCGCATATCCTTAGTTAATTCATTTTGAGCGTAGGGAGCGCGCTCAAGACAATAGACCCTTTTTGAAATGAAGTCTGGCCACTTCGGTAGCTATCATCACCTAAACTGTACATGCTAATGGCGGCCTTTTGATGGATGGAGAAGGAAGAATCTGAAGACAGAACCGATGCGGTGCCTGAGCATCCACACGTTAGTTCGCTGTATTGTTGGTCAATGTCTCCGTGATGAGACGGATAAGTTTTTATGAGCGACGAATTTAAGGGTGTCATGTAAGTCCTTGGAAAGCTCTGCTTCAGAACGCCCCAGACAGCTCATGATATTCAAATGTTAATTTTATCAAGAGGTTTACGCAACTACAAGCGATCGTACAGAGGGATAACATTTTGACACCATTGAAACTGAAACAAATGGAGAAATAAATGTTCAGCGGAAAACACCACATTTTTCATGCGTCTAGAGTTGATGAATAGGTACCAGATTTTATCAGCCATTAGCGTACAATAATTTGGACTGATATTGCAGCCACTAGATGGCACTGAATTTGCGAAAGGGTTATTGCAAGCATGGGGCTGTACTGGTGCCCCATAGGTGCAAGCACTTGTAGGGTATGCGTGAACGTAGCTTTGGCGAGCTTGCGATTGCGCGGGCTTGCACGCACGAGCAGAGACATGGCGGCGGCCAGTCGCCTGGCTCGCAATCGTCTATTGACGCGTCTTTTTTTTTTTTTTTTTTTTGACAGCTGTATTTTTGCAGCACAACTGTAAATCTCAACCTGTAGGGGAGGGTATCCTTTACGCAGCTTGCACAGTGCCGCACAGCAATAAAAAGGTATCTGCAAAGGCGCTATGCGGGCACTACCGAATACTGGCCTCTGCGACTGTATACCAGTTAATGGTGGCCGCTGCCCCATTGGAGCGGCGCACGGGGCCACTTTAACCGCTCATTCACACTGGAGGCGGATCCGCGTTCGCAAAGCGGTTGCGAACGCGGTTATATAGACGCTTTACACACGCGCCAAATTACAGCCGCCATTGCTGACCTTCTCTCGTCTTACCGAGATGCCGAGCAACCGAAACGGTAGTTGACGATCGTCTACAAAGGCCGATGCTTTAGAAAAGGACACAGTGGAATCTAATATGGCAATAACCTGGCCTACTATGGTAATGATGAAGGGAAATAAACGGAATAAGAGGAAACAAAAATTGAAGGTCAGTTGTGGCGGCGTCCATGCACAGCTGCTGCAAAGCGTCTATAAAGATCCAGTACAATTGCACGCGCACTCGATGACATCAAGTGCGCGTGCAATCGTACTGGATCTTTATACAACCACATTCGCAACCGCTTTGCAAACGCGGATCCGCCTCCAGTGCGAATGACCGCTAAGGGCGTGCGCAATGTTTGGAATCGGCGCCGCTAGATAGCGCGGCATTGCTTAAAGAATCTATTGAAAGGGTCCCTAGAGTAAAGGAAGATACGGTTGAGTTCGGGAGGGAACAAGAGCAGAAAGGCACGTATGCAGGATAAACAAATGCACGAGGTGTGCAAGGAGCAGACGAACTGGAACGCCGTACAGCGTCTCTTACCTAAACGTCGACTGTAGCGAATATTACTCGGCCGAGCTCCTGTTTCACAGAGAAACTGGGCTCCGCGAGTGCTGGTTTAACTAGCTTTAACTCGATTACCTCTGATAACTATCCCCTCGCGCTTATATATATATATTTTTTTTTCTTCTGTACTTCGAATGGAGCAGTTTTAGTAGGTGCTTGCGGTGTACAAGCGTTCGATGAGCCGAGGAGCGCTACAAGTCAAGGAGCTCGTACTCGTAATCTTCGCTGAAGTTAGCATGAATAGTTAAGCTGGGACGGAGCGGGTAACGAGTGAAGAATCGGCAGCCTAACAAGAAATTAAGCACCGTATAGAAAAAGTACCCTTCGTGATGTCACAAGCGAAAAAAAACCCAGAAAAATAGCCAGCGACCTTTATCTTCGAAGTTTTATAATCTGTGTAATGCATCATAGGGAATTGGTGTCACTTGACGTTTATTTTCCCGTTAAATTTAGCAGAGAAACTGAATGGTTGTATGGGTCACGTGACGTGAATTTCCGCCTCTAAATTTAGCGGGGAAACTGGATTGATGTCTAGGTCAGAAGATCTGAATTTTGTAGCTAAATTTAGCGGGGAAACTGAGTTGAAGTATAGGTCACGTGCTGTCAATTTCCTCATGTGACGCCCTTTCCTCGCCAAATTTAGTGGGGAGACTTAATTGGTGAAGATCAAGAATGAACGAAAATAAAGGAAGGAAAGGAAGGAATCTATTTTGATACGTTATTGTGGGCTTCGTACCTTCAAGAAGGTACCTTCAGGAAGTCCTGATGGCGCAGGTGCCGGAAGCCCTTTCACTGAAGCCCTATGTGTATTAAGTACGGCTAATATTAGCTTCGTCTCCCGTTTTATCGGGCTCACGGGAGGTAGAACTCTTTGCAAGTCCTCGCACCCGATTTGCAGACCGACCTTTCCAAAACTTCTCTTCCCGAACGGAAAGTGTGACCGATGTGACTGTCGTTCAAGGAACGCACACGAATTTGACGTCATTTTTCCTAGAAATGACACGTTTCGTAATAACCACGATGAAGAATTGGGGTTCGACGTGGGATTACGAGTACTAAAGCGCAATATACAAAGGGGGGCAGACACAACGCTTTTTGGTCGTGTTTTTTTTTTTTTATCTTGTTCTGGCAACGGTTTAGTTTCACTATAGTCCCTGACAGCTGAAGTAAAGCAGTGTGTGGCTAGTTTTGAAAATCTCATCATCACTCATTAACCAATGAGAGTGTTGCATCGACTGATAAGAATGCCGCAGACGAATCACAAAGTAAGAAGCGTGAGCGTCGTAAGACACAACCCTGCGTTTCTTAAGTTGGTAGCGAGTATTGTTGTGTCAAGCGACATAAAAAGGGCTGTTCTTTTGGCTACCCGAGTAATGTTCAACCATTGTTCCCAAGCGTGTTATTTTGTCGCTGGTTCGTATACAGTTGAGACAGGTTTCTAGCATGGCGCAGCTTGTATAGATTATCGAACAGTGGTTGTTCTTTATCTTCATTGTGGGGCGAGACCACATACCTCTTAACCAACAGGCCTGTTTTAACGGTTTAACGAATGAACGTACAAATAATAAAGACGGGTAAAAGGAATGCAAAGAACGGGCGCTACAGTCAGCCCTCATCTTGTGTGCTGTTTTGACTTGTTGTTTTAGTGCTTTTGTGCGCTATTTTTCTAACGTCAGTCATGAAAAAACTCGCCCACATTGCCACTTTGATGGGTCCCCCCCCCCCCCCCCCCCCTGTTTACACCTAAATTCTAGAGTGCAGCCGGTATCGGTAATGCGGCAATCATTTTTACTTGTTTGCGCAGCGTGGATGGAAGCCGAGTCATCTTCAAAGTGAACCCGAATTCGCAGAACTTCAACGCCTCGACCGTCGCCGCCAAAGCAGGTAAGTAAAAACTGCGCTCTCGCTGGAGAGGCCCCTCACGAACCGGCGAGGTTTAGAAATGATATTTTTTTTGATTAAATAAGATAATTTCATACAGTTTAGACACTACTATCGATCTACGGATGTTTTCTTGCCGACTGTCCCAGATAGTATTCCACTGTTGTTTTTTGTTTCTACTTGAGCAACATTAGAAACGTTATTTCACCAGAAAGACCTCTATATAGGCGATACTAAACACTTAAACCCCCAGGGTGTGGTGGAAAGAAGTCAAAACAATAAGCAGCAGAAAAAAAGGGAATGAGGCGGACAACGTTTCAAGGTCGGCTAAAGTTTTACTTAGTTTCAGCTCCTCGATGGGGAAATTAGAAAAGAGATATACCTAAGGCATAAACGAAATTGAACTTGCGGCTGGATTTGAAACGTCCCACCTCCCCTCCTCCCCCCCCCCCCCCCCAACCCCAATCATTCCCCACCCTTTTTGTTTGTCTCTCTTACTGTTTTGACTTTTGTTATCATGCGCCTTCTAGTTTTATAGTATCGTGATATAGAAGCGGCAACGAATACCCGAAAAATCTACGACTGTCCCATTTCGTCGTATGATAACCCATATACATGTTTCGAGAGACAGAAAGCAAACGTACACAGCAAATCCGTCTCTTTCGTCTGTGCCACTTCACCCACGATTGGCCCCGCGGCAGTCTGTCCTCGTGCGTCCACCACCGTTTAGTGCATTCCTCTCATGTCGAAATAGGACGAAAATGTACAAAAACAAAGTCTCGCTTCAAACACGCAGACGGACCCCCACCTCACCAAACCTCAAACCTGAAGCCTCCGCAGAAGAAGGGCGGCCGCCAGAGTGTCAACAAAGCGCGCGTTCCTGTCTTCTACTTCGAGAGCCTTTAAAAGGTTCGCCGCGGCATCGCTCGCTCGTCGTCGACGCTTTTGCGGGGAGGGGGGAGGCGGGGAGTTAAACTCACCCCACAGCCCCCACCCGTCGGTGATGCCACTGAGGCTCCCGGTGTGGCTTGGTGGAACGCCGTCGCCACCGTCGCTTCTCCCTCGAGCGGATATCGTGCCGGCGATGGATCCGCAAATACGTTCAGACGCGCGGCGGACGGGGCGTAGCGACGATGGCGCTACACATCCCATCTCCAAACAAACGCGCGTGATCCTTTCCCCACGCTCCTACCACCGAGATACTTACGTCGTGTGGGCGCTTTTTCCGGAGAATGAAGAATCCGGGGAAAACTCACGAAGTGCGTGTATCTTTGTATGTGTTTGTATAAGGGGGGTTGGTGAAGGCGCTAACTCTTTATTGTTTGTTTGGTTCTCCAAAACGGTTATCCGCGTGTGTCGGAAGGGTTTGATGAAAAGTAAACAAGGAGAACGAGTTTATTTCGCGGTGAACACAATGTCTAAAAAAAAAAAAAAACGTCTATAGCTCTCTTTCGCGCTCTTTTTTATTTATTTTATTCTTGATTATGAAGAAGAAAGAAGAAACGGGAAGAGGAAAGGGTTCGGGTTTTTCCAGGAACCGACGACACTGTTCTACTCGTTCAGAAAAAGGTTCGCCTCGAAGCATGCGAAGATCTTGCCAATGACAGCTCGAGGCAACCGCGCGCGTGGACACCACCGCCGATTGGCGACTCCAGCGAAATTGACGGCACCCTAGCGGCTCGAACAGAAAGCTGTAGCGGCAGGTTCGCTCTCCAGCCTTCTGGAGCGAATCAGACATTCGCAGCACCCTGACGGTCAAAACACAAAACAGCCAAAAAAAAAACAAAAAAAGAACACGGGTTTAAATTTGTTTTTATTGATTACTGTAGGTCTCGTTAGCTCTACCGAGCGATATTAAAAGTCCCGAAGTTCACCACGCCCTGCGATTCTTAAGCTGTCGGGAACTGTACAGTAATTGAACCCCGTGCACTGGCATTTTGGGCGCCCTTCCAGCGAGATCGAGTGGGGAGATTAGATTGAGGACGGGTGCAGTTGCGTCGGCGTTCCGCTGCACTTCGCGTACACTCGATCCGTCTAAAGATGCTCGGCGTCGGGCCCAGTCGCCAAGTTGGCGCCACCCGAGCGGGATGACGTCACGGGGAGAGAGAGAAAAACATTGGCAGTCTTTGGATAGTCTATCTATAAGATGCATTGGCTTGATCTGGTTGAATTGTCACGATGGCGTGGTAAACTCATCTCCGCCTTATTATTCGTCGGATATAATTTATCGCCTTTATTTTAATGGCGAAATAAAAAGAAAGACGTAAGAATAGTCGAGATGTGGTCGAATAGAGGAGAGGCAGAATTATAAGATTTCATAACCTCATATTAATCATAAATGGTCAGTCCATGGAAATTCGTGAATCTCATGCGTGATATTTTTTTTTTTAAATATTGTTTGCAGATTTGGGAGGGAGCGGTAACTAATAAGTTAAAGTTTTAGTAGATCGTGTTTTGAGACCGCGCTATTTGTAGCGCGGTCTCGCGCCGCCACTTCGATGCATGCTCTGAAGCGCACGCGCGTAGCGGTGGCGTGCCTTTGAAGTCGATCTACTAAACACTTTTAATAAAACAGTAACAACAAATAATTTGTAATAATATCTCCAATGTCAGACGTCTTTGCGATTTTGAGTCCTCCGCCAGTGGAATAGACTCGCTGAGCACCGAAGTTTCACAATGTCCAGGTTTGAGAGGTATGCGCTGGGCATGCATCCCTCATTGCCCGATTGACTGCCTAAGTACGCATCCGTCTACGGCATGGGTGCACAACTAAAAATTTAGGCGGGCCAAAATTGGTTTATTGAAAACTGTGCGGGCCGCACCTAGTGCGACGTGTTGCACATTTTGGCTGCGGTCAGGCTTCCGATATCATGCGTCATCTCACTCGTGGCCGTCGTCAGCACATCTCGCAATGTCATGATCGTCATGGAAGATCGAGAAGGGTTCTTGTTGAGAGTCATCAGTGAAATGGTTTGCTCACAGACATACGTGCTACCGATATGTGACGACGATTTCTAGGCATGGTCCACCAAATTTCCGTTCTTGTTCCCGTCCAGGTTTTTGTAAAACTCATGCAGCTGAAATTCGAGATGAATAGTCTTCAGCGCCGGTGGACACTGGAGGTCGATAAGCTCCAGTTTCATCGTTGGCTCACAGTCCTCCAATCCGACGATGTGACCCTTAACAATCCCAACAAAAAGGGAGAGAGTTGATAGCGTCCCTGGTGAAAGAGGGAAGGTATCTGTTGAGAGAGAGAGCAACAAGTTTTCGCGTTCCGTGTACAGACATGTTGAGAAAGATCCGCACCATGGACAAGGACAGCTGCACATGCTGTTTTATTGTTCTCAGCGGGATTAGTGAAGAGGGAAAATTTTAATTGAGAAATCGTAGTTACTTCGCCGAAGACAGAGAAGTAGGTCAGAGGGTTTCACTGCAGTGAAACTCTCTGACCTACTTCTCTGTCTCGCTTGGCAAGCAGCATGCTGCTTGCCAAGCGGAGTGGGCGCTCAATGGATAGAATGGTATAGTAAGCGAATCTCTGTACTGAGCCAGGCCGCAGGCCCCATGCGGCCCGCGGGCCGTATGTTGTGCACCCCTGGTCTACGGGAACCGAAATTCCGTCAAAATTCACTTGGAACCTTCGAGCTTTGAATCAACTAAAGCCGGATTCCAGTCGCCGCTTTGGCCCGCTCCGGAATCCGATTTTTGTGGAGCGCCCGTCTGGCACTCACTGGTCGTTTGGAATCAACCCGGAGGTCCTTCGCTTGTCGTTTTGGAGCCGCGCCGACTCCGGATCTCGCTTCGGAGTTCCCAGATCTTGATCTGCCGATTTTCACAGAGCCGAGTGGAAGCCTATCTCATGGGGCACGTGACTTCCTGCATCACCGAGCATGAAGGAAACGGCGGGTGACCGACGGCGGATCGGAGGCATGCAGGCGCTTTCCGGAAATGACGAGGGCCCCGCGTCATGGGGAATACCGGGGAAACGATCTCACTCCCGTAGGCTTGTCGACTTCAACCGGTGGAGTCGGAGACACGGTGGCTTCGCCCGGATCGCATGCTACGTAGCAGATCTAGGCTAGTGATTCACAACTACCAGTGAATTCGCCTTAAGTTGTCATGGTGGTCCAAAGTACATTACACTATAAAATCTAGGTCTTTTGTTAAAATTTGTTATGCGTACGATTGAGTACGATTTTATATACATACACTACAGCAATATCTAGGAAACGTTTCTTATGTTGATTTGCATGCCCCTTTTTATTTAGTGTTATCAATTATTAAAGGGAATAACCGTACCGCGTTTTCTCTGCGAACCTGATAATTGTGCAAGCGAATTATATATATATATATATATATATATATATTGTGATTCGCTGCACTTGCATTTTGCATGCATCGTAGTTGCTAATTGCGAATTATAGGGTACCCAGAATTTAATCTGCCTCCTCCCTTCCTCGTTGTTTTTCTATATTTATCTGCGTTATTATTTGTAAAGATAAATAAAACGATTTAGGAAAGCTTAGACCACTTATGACGGATAAAAAACCATGCCATCGTGTCTTTTCCTGAGACTCGGCAGGTATAAGAAGATGAATCGCGTCTAATGCGTTAAAGGACACGTTTGCAGGAGTCCTTTAGATCTGGAATGCGCATTAGCATAGCCTTAATGGCCAATATAGCATTCTTACTTTTTTCTCCGACACTGTTCGTGCTTTTTGTGAAAAGTGGGAGATTTTCGTTTTACAAAATCCAGTCCTCGTCTACTCATTGGAGCGGATTAACGTCTTCTTATTTTTCTAGTTCAATTTATTATAATATCTGTTTCCTTCTCTTGGACATACATTTCGATGTCATTCATCTGGAATGTACTACTCAACAACTAAAGACATATACAAAAAACGTTTCGTGCATTGATAGCGAGATTGCGAGGGATTTGCTAGTATCCTTTCCGAAGTGGTTGAACAAACGTCTCAGACGGAAAGAGCCATGTTGCTAGATAT